TATATATATATATATATATATATATATATATATATATATATATATATATATATCATATAGAGAAATAGTCCTTATCTTAGAAAGTATCTAAAATTAAGGAATTTTAATTTATAATACTATAAATTAAAAAAGAGTTATAATAAGAGAAATCCTTAAAATTTAGGAGTTTTAGAGAGAAATAATCCTAATCTGGGAAAGATCAAAAATTAAATAACGTAATTTTTTATTAAGTTTTAAATTGATTACTTGCGTGTGTGTGTGTATATATGTATATATATATATTATGTGACATACATACTAGGACAAAAAATTGTGATAGAAACTGTTTCAAATGTCCAAACATGTAAGTTACATTTTTATTTAACCATTAAAATTAATAGTGATATAAGAAAAAAAAGTAACAAATAGCAGTGATATAATAAAAAATGTCCAAACAGTTTGCTTGTCATAGTTTTTTGTCATAGTATGTGTGTCACAGAATATAAATCCACACAAAGAGTAATCACCTCATATGGACTGAGAAGGTGGTGAGTAAGCCTTGGTTAACTTGTAAGAAAAGAAAACACTTAGGTGAACCGATGGCTGAAGGTGGCCAAAGGGACTCTGATGTTTAAATTAGATCGCAAGTCAAATAAAAATATAGAGTGAATAGGCAAAGATTGAATGAATTAACTGGTATCCGGGGCCTTTATTTATACTAGTAGTAAGTTGTATGCTAAAGGACCTTGAACTCTAGGTTATGATAGGATATAACTCATCACTAACATCAAGTTCTTGAAACCCCACAATTTCCCCTCATACCTCAATTAAACAATTTTCATTAATTGAGGTATGTGTTTGAAGATTGGATATCTCGCAGGCCCAACTCTTTGGTAATAGGCTTATTTTGTCTAGAAGCTTAGGGCTTTGGTTGCCTAAGAAGCTTAGGGCTTTAATTGCCTAAAATGCTTAGGGCTTTAGTTGTCTTCTCTCTCTTCTCCTCTTTACTCACTTCCCCTTATGATCCTTCACTTGGTTCATAGGTTAGAGCTTGGTTGATAAAGGAAAAGGAGAAGCGCTCACTATTGCCTGTACAGGGGGCTAATTTACTTTGCTCATGAGCTAGTCAAGCAATAAATTTTGCTTGAGAGTCAAGTCGAGTTTGATAGGGTAAGGG